TTACAACATTGACAAATCTTAATTCGAGCATCATATTTATGAAATAAAACCATGAAAAAATTGTGTTACAGGATCTTTAAAGGTAAAAATGACCATTTTTCACGTGAGTTCTCCAAGTATATGGAAAAGTTTTCAACAGAAATCCGTAACGTTTTCCAGGAACTCCGTTACGTTATAACAAGTTATCATAAGAACTCCATCCTTCGTGTAACAGTTCCTCCTCCGTGAACAGGAAACTTTTAACAAAGTATATGGCATAGAAAAAATAATTATTATGTTCTGGTGAATGTTCTTGTTAAATTTATTTAACCGCTTCCAAAATTATAGAAAATAAAATATTCGTGTTGATGTATCGTAAAAAAGTATGTCTTTTTATTATCATTTCTACCTCATTATTTTAAGTTCAGTTCCGATCACAGCAGGGCTGCGTGACTGCGAGTATTTTTTCTATTTGTTACCACGTCTGTCAAAAGACTAAGATATATCATTTTGATTGATACAAGATTGATTTGTATGGCTTCTCAAAGAATTGCCGAGAGGTTTTTTTTAATTTCGTGTCATTGTTTTCCGTTTTTGTTAGTTATCAGTGAGAGTGAATTTCATCAATTTACAAAAAAAGCTGATTAAATGTAACAAACGTATATGAAATATCAATACTGAATATCACCGGTTTTTATTTATTTATTTGTGTTTATTCGTTTTTGTTTCTTTTTTTCTTTTTTTTTTCTTTTTGTTTGCTTTTTTTAATTTACATGATATGAAATAAATCAAAACAAACTATCTTTCTAGTTATAAATTGAGAGGAAAAACATCATGAAGCGTATTTCTTTTTTCGTATTGAATCGTTTACATTTTTGTTAAGCTTATTTGATTTTAATGAAATAAAGACAAAATACTTACCCTGGCATAGTGTACACTGATCAAAAGCAATTTTAACATTTGCTTTTATTGTAATGACGCTAAAACTAACCAAAGTGTTTACTGAAATGATCAAAGTTTTTTTAATTGCAACTCTCTTCACTAACTTTTATTAGCTAAATTGCATTCATTCTGAGAAGTGCAAATAAAGTCTAATCAAAACGAGGGAGAACAATCTAGGCCTTGAAAACAAAAACTTTTGATTGTATGAAAATGATAAGCATGTTTACCTAATTGTTATACCGGAATACTGCATATCAAACAGACAAGTATGGTACATGTAAATATAATTACATACTCGTAATAAAAACATAAGGTTTAAAAGTATATTTAAATGAAAAACAACAAACAAGCCCAAACAAAATCGAAAACAAAAGCAAGACTAAACATTGTTGGTTAAATATCCAGTAGACCATTTCTGAAAAAATGAATTTTTGTCACCATTTGTCAAGCTGTCCATATATCGCTAAAATTTGTAGTACACAAATTTGTATACTTTATGGCACAAAGTAAAAAATTGTCTAATGGTGAGACGGAGCCGTCATTGTCTTTTATTCATCTTAAAATTCAAGATACTATTAACGTGTTGTACCAGCTTCAACTCATGTTAATTTTATATGCAAACAAATTCAAGACCATGTCTATCAATTGCTACGTCCTTGTATTTACAATTTTCACGAAATGAACAGAGATGTATCACAAAATATCTGTAAGCCGTACGTATATGACTGTCTTGAAAATAAGAATGATTTAGCTGAAAATATATCAAGAAATGAAATACTTACTGAAATGATATGATTGAGAGGAATCTATTGATGTCATACACTTAAAACCTGTATCAGGGATTTATTATCCCGCACGTTCACTTGTTTACGAGATTTTCCGCGAGGATGTTGACACAAATAAAATGGTGGTTGTTCAGATTTCTATCTCATGAATCTGTTTTATTTATCACAAAACACCTAAACGTTCATATGAATCGAAATTACAATTCAGATGTTAGGCAAAAGTATTTTATATATATTGAAATGTGTAATGTCATAAAATTTTAGTTTAGGCATTAGCTTCTTTAAACGACACAAGAAAATCGGTCTGTTCCTATAATTAGTAAGGTGTGTTTAATCAAGCTAACTTTGAGACAATGGTCTTTATTTCTTATTTCCTTCTTTTTCAATGCGATAAAATTTGACTTCATTCTCATTTTTTTGGTGATCATTTGATGCTTTGTTGGGATTGAGTCTATACAAGAGTGGTATTTATATACAATAATGCCGGACCATCCCGACAAGAAAAATTACCCATCAGAGTTAGTTATATCCATAATCAAAGCCCTATCAATACTTTTGGCTAAATCCACCTGGCATTTGTTGCTACATAATTGCTTTATGTATTATTAAGGTATTCTTTGAGACTGAATAGATATTAAGTCAACTTAAAAATGTAAGCATTGCATTTTTCTTTGTATAAAAATATATAGTTTTTACATATAATCATTATTCGTTTGTTTAATACTATATTGATTTTTTGTTGATTTACTTCCCTGTGAAATTTGATACTTTAGTTGTGGGCAATGTGAGCAATATAAGCAATATTTCCAATATAAGTAAAACAATATTACATATAACCTATATAATCTATAGCCAGCAACATAACATGTATCAATATTAGCAATTATTATAACAATAATAGCAATATAGGAGATAGCAATATTACGAATAGACACCAAAGCAATCTTACCAATATCAGTAAAACCAATATAACCAATATAAGTACATGTATTATCATATTCATAGATTTTTAAGTTTATTCCTACTATGCCTGCAACTTGTGAAGTACGGTGTAATAATTTAATATCGCAAGCATTTCTTTATATTTTGAAACCTTGCAGTGTTGTCACTTTTGATCCAAAGTTACTATCAAGTACAGAAATGTACATAAAATTTTAATTTTGTTTGAGACGATCCTATGTGGTGTGTGAAAAAGGTTGCACTTTTATAGTTTCCTATTAACAAACCCATTATTAAATAGGAATGAGTTGTTGTCCATAAAGATAACGTGTCATTTTTCATAGCACATTCACATGCAATCGTAATTTAATGAAAACTGAGTCTGTCTTCATTTTACCTTACAGTAACGAAAATTAAGATACTGTCACGGACAAGGTTCTTATATTAAGCAGAACGATACGGGTGTTTTCGACTGCATTAGGATATATTTAAAGCTCGTGTTGGTTATGATGTAAAGAACGTTTTCTTTCGACAATATCTTTTAATGTTTTTCTAGGTCAGTGATGTTAAAAATCAAACCAGAATATGACAGCTGACATATAAGATGTCATGAAAGCTAATGTCTGCACGGAAAGATGTAAAGGAAATTAAATGTCTCTCTCTCTGAAGTTACAAAGCATCATATAAAATAAAAACTGAAATAATTTATAATAATTTTTAAAAAGTATTTTTTCTAGATCGTTTTTTGAACGGTTTGTAGGTTTTATGACACAATTTTATCATTAGATCACTAGAAAAGACAACAATAGATTTATGTTAGCTTAACCATTAATATTTCTATAAATTAATTGACATTTACTGGCTATTAGATGTGTTTTTGAATTTCCTGTTTATCAAGATTTTGCGATTTAGATTGGATTAATGTTCAGAAAATCATTTTGTCTGATATGAGTAAATTTGAAGAATAAAACATTTTTTTTAGATTTAACTGATATCATACTAAACTGCTTAAATGCTCTAATCTAGGTAATTCAACAAATAGGCAAAATTTGAGAAAAAAACAAATACAATGTAATCAAATTATTTTAAAGGACATATTTGTCTTTTTCAATTAAATATGCACTAACCAGGTATTCTAATATTTTCTTTTCTCTTTTTTATAACCTCTGGTTTATCCATTTGCTGATTGTTTCTATACAATATTTTATATCTTTTTACAAACTGTCAATATGTTTCTATTACATGTATGTGTTTGCCTCAAATAACTATTCACAGATAAAAAAAAGCTGTGTTATATGGTATTAAAATATTTTAATCAAACGTTCAGTTGGAATCAAGATAAAAATACAAATTGTTATATTTTTGTAATCAAACCAATGTTTACATAACAATATATATCATATTTTGGTTATGCGATAAAACATTAATGAAATATCATTGTAAAATTAAATATGAGATACATTCCACAAGATTGTCTTACATTACTTTTATGTTCATACTACTTGGGGAAGGGAGGGAGGTAGGGCATATAAATTTGGTATTGTCCGTCCGACTTGTTTTCACGATTTCTGTCCGGCAACTGCAATACAGTGGAATGGGGGGCATCCATGTCCTATACACAAATTTCTTGTTTTAACTGTTTCATGCTTTTGAACATTCCGAACAGAATAACAAATAATATTAAAGATCCTGTATGTTGTAATTAAGGGTATAACATACAGTTAAGTGAAGTTGTATATAATTATTCGTCTAAATCAATTTCCCAACAACTAAAATATCAATGTACATTTTGATTAAACGTTAAAATAAATTCATTCATGTTTTAATTTGGTAATACCTTTACAAACAATACTTTTTGAAACTTACAATATTGATAAATCTTCATTTGAATATTAGATTTATAAAACATACCATAACAATTGCCTTACAGGATCTTTCACAATTTTGTTAAACACATGCACATTTAACATAATATAGACATAGCATTTTACAGAGTTTGAATCAGTATTAACATAGATAATAATACCCAAAATGTCAAACAAAAATTCACTTTTTTATTTGGAAGATGCATCTAATCAACATTATAATAGAAAATTAGTGAAATTGCGTATTTTATCCAAAAATTCGTGGACTTTTTAAATATCTCTTGAACGTCAATGTGTATTGTAATGAAATTTTATCAGCATCTATTGTAGAATATTATCAAAACATTTTGAAAGGAACAGTTAATTGTGTGTAAATTTCACGATCATTAGTGTTAAAATGGCATAAGAAATTCAGTGATGGACATTACTTTGAGTAGCAGTAACTGTCATTGACTGCGTAACGTTGAAGCACAAGTTGTTTCTTAATATTATGACGTTGACGTCAATAACTTTTTGGAGTGCGCCACTGTCGCCGACATGTGTTTATGTAAAATAAATATTGTTGTAATGTTAGAAGCTACTCTCATGAATTTTTCTGTGTTTATTTGTTATTAATTCTTCTAAGCAGTGTAAGAATTTTAAATTAATATATCAAATATATTTTACGCAACAAAGAAAGTCCACGAATTTTTGGATAACCCCTCGTACATTATCAATAAGTACAACGTGCAGCATATTCTTAGTTTGTATATGCTCTTTCAAGAGGTACCAGCTTTGACGTCCATTCTTTGTCCGTTACTAACACTGTAAGAGACCTTGTTACCGGATTTTGCAGTTTATTTAATTCCGGATTCCTACACGGCCTATTCCAATCAAAACGACTTTGTCTATTTTCACGTTTTGTTGATGAAAAACATGTTAAACACATTTTTACAAGAACCTGTCTGAATTTGCTACCAAACACTAAATACACAATAATATTCGTTGATAACGATAAATAGGAGAGGAGTAATGTTGTATGATGTACGGCTTCTTCTTGGATAGAATGGCTAGCATTGTCGTTTTTGCCGAATACAAATCCATTTATCATAATGACATATCTATAAATGTGCGAAGGAACATTTAAACAAAAGAATGTAGCAGTTACCGCAAATAACATTTTTGTCACCTTTGCAAGCGTATGTCCAGACTGTGTCACTCCGCTTTTCGTTCGTTTCTTACGGATATTGGACGATTTTATTAAGCTACAAACTATCGCACCCATCAAATGAATGATACCACAAAGAGGTAAAGCCAGTGTGATAACAGTGTCCGCGTATACAAATGCCTGTACAGTTTTGCTATGTTGCGGGAAAGGCACGCAATCATCTGCACTTATTGCCCAAAAAGGAAAGTTGTAAAAACAGACTGACAAAATACACAATATCATAAGAACTATTTCAGCAATTCTTTTTGTGCACATCTGCTTTACAACAAATGGTTTGCAAATTCGAATATAGTTTTCAAATGTGACAAATACAACCAGCCATACCGAAATAAATCCACAAACGTAGCTTAAAAATATTATTATGCTACATGAACCACTTATTGTTCCTAAACGTAAATGAAACACTTGTGATATCCAAATTATCAATAACGTTAATAGGAATCCATTATCTGCTATGCCTCTTGCAGCTAGATATATGCTACAAGAATTATTCTTCAATGGTTTCTGAAGAAAAACGACAGAAGACAATGTGTTGGTTATTAAACCAAAAACACAAATGACTGGAATTGTGTACCGCTCCAAAAATGATGTTATTGGATGAAATGGCAGCGCAAGCAACGGTTTTGTTATATTCTCGTACAAAATATCATCGTTTTTAAAGATGTGCTTATTTGCCGTCCAATTACCGGAAGAAAGACCGCCAGAACTCATTCTGAAAAGACACGAAACAAGATGATAATAAAAAAAAGACGTCATAACCGTAAAAAGATGTATATTTCAGCAAATAAATAACAAAGAGAGAGCTTTAATATTTATTTTATTAAGGGCAATTACTTTAAAAACTTTTTAAAATGAAATAGGTTTAACAATGTATTTAAAAAAAGAATGATAATGTTTTCATAAAAACGAATAATTTTCAAAACAAAATCTAAATACAAAAAAATAGGCAAAATTAAAACAAAACAGAGAGAAATATAATTCGTAAAGTAGGTCCAAAACGACAAAATTGAAAATATTGCAGGAGCCAGTTCAAAGACGTTCATGGATAAAGCAAGTTACTGTTCACCCCGTTCACCAGCTTAAGCAGAATAAACAAATGTGATAATCATCCGTAGATGTGTTTATACGGCGGTTATCGTTGATCCTTTAAATGAGACACGTTCGTGCCATTCCCCTACAAGCGGCGTATGGTCTCATTGCGCCTTTAAAGAGAAAACAATAGGCGAAACTAAATAAAATAGAATTTTGGGATAGGATAAAGGTTTATGAAGCCTGTATATCACAGATAAGATGTCAAAAAACAAATTTAAAAAGTAGTCAAGCTATCCTTTAGTTGATTATACAGACTGAGTATTCAAGTTAAGAAAACTAGAATGTCTCAAGAAGAAATAGCAAATTGAAAGAACTAAAAGTACCACAAATACATCAATATTGTTGAACGATCTGTAAGGATCAGAAATAAAACATCTTTGATTGTACGTATGAGGCAACTTTTTACATCATATCCGCACTGCACAAAAAAAATTGATGTGGCAATAAAATAGAGAGAAATAGAATCCCTTAAGAAAGTCCAAAAAGATAGTATTGAAAATGCCTAAAATGCCAAAAACCTATTTCATCTATTTTTTGACAAGGTCTCTGGCTTAAATTCGAGGAATTGTGAATTTTTTTAAACTTGAAAAAATATTGGAAACTGTGACTTATATCACCAGTTATGATGGGGCGAATAAACCATGTATAAAGCGTGTTAGTAATCGGTTAATTTATAAGAATTATGCAAGATTACAATGATGAAATGATACATTTGTACATTTAGATGAACTGAACCAAGTATTGACATGAAATTCCAAATTTGCCTTTACTCCACATGTCAGATGATGCATCTTTATTTAAATTAAAACATATTTTCTTATTTTTAAAGCAACAATAATCAGCCAATATCTTTGCACATCATTTATATTTAAATAGTACATACATGTAAATAATGTTATATATCAATCAGTTTTAAAAACTAATTTCAACTAAAAGCATTAGTTTATAGGTCACGTTTTTGTTCGTTTATACAATTTTACGCAATGTAGTAATAATAATATATAAGAAAAAAATATAATTAACATTTTTCAGTAACATTAACAGAACGAGGTCCTAATTACATTAATTCAGTCTCACAGGACCGTTGCAAATGTTGTTTTCTAATTAAAAGGCAAACGACTAATAATGTTTATTGTTACCTCAACATATTTCCAAAATGTTTCACATATTCCGAAATTTTCATTATATCAATCAATTAAATCAGAAAATAGATAAATTAATAACTTAAGTTTAAATATAAAGACATGCTTAGCCTAGAGATGTTGTATTTTTATTTCTCAAATTGAAACGTTTTTGTTTTTTTTTTAGTTTCGGTAGTCTGTGACCATTTCCGAAAACATACTATTTGGCTATAAAGTCGAATCATCTTTTTATTTTATTTTTGGCAATTCGTAATGACAATGAAAAAGTGTTCTGTTTGTCAAAATACACTTTGCTTATATTTTGCTATTTCTTTGGCACATTATGTAAATTACAGTAATACCTAATTCAACTTTAAAGCATCATTTTACTTTGAATTCCTGATTGTAACATTAAATTCTTATTAATAAAACTCATATTTTCCCGTTCCTAAATTATAAAATTGTTTTTCATTTCCAGGACACAGTGTGCCCAGTTATTTTAATTAAAACACAAACCTTAAGCAATAGAGTTATCCTTTTTTTATTACTTCTTTCTATCATATCTCTGCAATACATCCTTTGACAAGTTCACATTACTCTGGAGATTTTGCTAATGACGGAAATAAGACCTGATATTGGAATGCAGAAACATCTGATGTTCAGTGACTTTTGATATAACATGCGGTATCGATAAATTCTCTGGGAGAAAAAAATATTTCTGTAAGGAAACTAAGAACTTCTCTTTCTTTGTGTAATATATAAACACCGAACGTCAATGTAATAAATGATAATTGAACAATTTTATATCCTTTTATTTTCATTTTTAATTACCTTGTTGTATGTTTCTATGGTTTTCTATTTGTTTTTGTTTCTTGCCCATGTGCCATGACCTGTTTAGTGTCCTGCTTGGCTCTTTGCCGTTCGGTCTTGTGTTGAGGGATGCATTCGTTGAATGCCGCCCTTCCTAGGAGATCTTGCTTTTCATATTGAATTCTAAATGCTGCTTTTTATGCCAAAAATATCGAAACTTAGGCAACAGTCAATCATTTTAACGTAGATAAACATGAAGCATTTTAGATGTTCTTACAATATATGATTTGAATAAGCAGTATATTGAAACCTGTCCATCAAGTGGACATATTTTAGAAATAAGATAAAAAAATTCTAAACAAGTTCAAACCGGACATGAAAACGTAACATTTAGACACATTATTTGCATGTATACTTATATATTTCAACCGATGTCGATAAATAATTGATAAATACGTATTAATGAGAATGTACGTGTTTAAATGTACAAGGAAGTGTCAAAGATTTGATTGATAGTGTTTCTATAGAAATTACAGTTTTCAGATAAAACTCAGTCGAAATGTCTTCACAAATCTTTCAACATTATATGTTACTGCAAGGAGTATACACTTCTAGATTTATCATTATGTAAGAAGCATTTTTATCAAATTTATTCATAGTCCTGTCGCATTTTTAGTGGTAACGTCACATGTATAATGATTACGTCACATGTCTAAATATAGAACGTCAACAGTGATTTCGGTCCTTCTAGCTATATTCAAAATTCAGTGTTGATCATTTCAAGGAAATACCATGAAAGAAATAATGTAAAACATAAATGCAAAACCATTGTCGTTATCAAAATTCGCATCCTTCCCTTAAGAAACACTATCAAATTTTGAATTGATTATAACCGAAGATACAAATAAATCAACAGAATGTTTTCATTGTAATTTGTTTAACTACACATCTGCAAAAATAGTCTCAAATTTTATAACATTGTTTTTATTAACTACGTTTGGTGTATTTACTGAAACTTTTTTGTATTGCTTTGTATTTTGTCAATTGCAAATTATCACAAGAAAAGACGTCATTAACGCCGAAAAGAAAAACGATGACGCTTCCTCTAAAGAAAGAGGGGGTTAAACACATAAAAAGAAAATTCTAGAGATTGTGTAATACAAAGTTAATCATTATGTTTTCCTTGGATTGTTTTTATAACTTAAAATAAAAATGGTAGAATTGAACACCGGGTTTCTGGAAATTTAATTGACAACCGCATGTGATACCGTACCAGCATGTTGTTTAATTACAGCCATTTGTTTTAAAATACTGTATTTGTTTTGTCTTTAATCAGTTGAGTGCCATAAAAATACATAAGAATTCACAGTACATTACATGTACACAAATATTATATTTGTCGGGCACAATTTATTTGTATTAAAACTTACTTTTTGTATTGTGCATTTTATATGTGCACTTGAGTTAAAATGAGTCAATTTTATTTGGGTCCAGACAAAAGTTTAGGTCACAATCAATCTTGCATATAACCTGTTCTGGTACATCCATTGAATCAACTTCATCTTTCAAGTATCTTGGGATAACTATATACCAAAATCTGTCATTTTGCTCTATGGCCGAGTCTGTTCTTAAGAAGGCCAACTCTCGGTTAAAATTTCTTTACCGTAAGAAAGAGTTTCTTACTCAGCATACCAAGAAACTTCTGGTTATGTCTCTTATTCGATGTCACTATGATTACGCATGCTCTGTTTGGTATAATAGCTTGAAACAGTCTTTAAAAATAAGTTACAAACTTGTCAAAATAAAATAATGAGATTTGTACTTGACTTGGATTCCAGAGCCTATATTGACCCATTCCATTTTAAGTCCCTTAGCTGGTTACCGGTCCACAGAAGAGTTGAACAGATAATGTTGTGTCATGTTTTTAAGATAAAAAGTGGCCTGTCTCCGGATTACATGTCTGAACACTTTATTTCGCAAGATTCCGTACATAATTATAGTACAAGACTTAGTCAAAAGGGTAGATATTGTCTACCTTAGGTCAAAGGTCAGGGTTCTAAATCCTTTGCTTTCTCTGGAATTAAATTATGGAATGATTCACCTGTAGAGTTAACGGAGATCAACAGGTTACAAAGTTTTAAGGTTGCCATCAAAAGTCATCTTATGAACAGTATTTAATTTTTTTTTACTATGTTTTTACATATTTCGGCTCAGGATTTTAAATTGTCTGCTAATTATCTTTTTTACAATTTTAGTAATATGTTTTAAATCCTAGCTGCAAACAGGAGTGTCATTAACTCAAGATTTGATTAAATACAATTATCACATGTCTCGAATTGGTCATAACACTTAATTATTAGTTTATTATTAGTAGATTAGTTTAATTTGAAATTGAAAAGATGACATTAGATAAATAATTGAATTAATTTTAGAATCGTTACATTGATTGCTTCCAAATAGGTTTTATCAAAAGATAAAATTGTGATATTATAAAATTTTGTATTGAGTAATAACTGATTTGTACGTCAACAATATTGTGTTATTGAGACTTGTTTATAGCCATGATAAAGAATAATGGTATGCATAAAATAAAACTTTACAAATAAAACGAATACAAGTGAATAAATTCAAGTTTAATGAGCAGGTATATATGGTTGTTTTATAACTGTCATAAAAATCTATAACTGC